AGTATGAATATAATTATTTTATAAGTTAATATTTATGTTTATGGTTCCAGTGGTAGTAGAAACATAAAGCAGAGACAGAAAAGAGGTACAGTTAATATGATTATTGAGTGTGAAATGTTAGGGGGCAGAGAGAATTTCAAATGATCCATAGATTTCCATGCTGTACACTGGCATATAAACTGGACATGAGGAAGGAGTAGGGAATTATCAGGTAAGCAGAGGAGAGCAGCAGGTTAATAGGGAAGGCTAAGTTTGTTCTATACATGTTGCGTTTCCTGGGATATTCGTGTAGGAGATTTTCAGTAGGTAGGTGGATTATAGAGATTTCTAGCTGGAGACGGAACACTGAGGTTGGAGATGCGGACTTGGAATAATCTTATTCTAATTATTAGGCAGAGTCATAGATCTGAGTGGACTTATCCTCAATGGGGAAAATGTAGAGTGAGAAGAAGTCCAGTGAGAAGACCCTGGGAACATCAACATTTCCCAGAGGAAAAAGAGTATAGAAGACTGAGAAGTGGTTAGGGAAAAGTAGGAGAGAAATTAGAGAAAATGATGTAACAATTTTAAAAACTGAGAATTTCAAGGAGGGCGTACAAGTAAGATTACATGACATCCTTTTCAACACAACATATTTATAGTTGTAAAGCCTACTATTTATGTGATTGGTTGTTCTTGTATCCAAATATGGAGGAATGTATCTGCCAAGATCCTACTAAGTTTTTGTAAGTGCAGCAGCTACCTATGCAGGAGTAGGGGAAATGGTCTAGACTGTGAGTACACCTCTCAACATTTTTCCAGAATTGCCAAAACCCAAGGGTCACATGTGAGGAAAAGTGTTGTCTTTCTTATCTGCCTCTTGTGGAATTACTTGTTTTGTACTCAAGTCCTTGACAAGCTGTTCTGCATACATTCCAAAACAAAAATCTGTGAGTAAGAAACGGAAGGTGCTGTCAGATGCACCTACCCTCCCTGTGGCATAGAATCGTAGCACAGCCATGTTTTGGCAGTTTTAAGTTTTGATCAGAAACAGTTTAGAGACCAGCAGTTGGG